CTACTAGAGAAGGAGCTTGGGAAGTAAGGCAGGACAGGTGCCTTAAGTGTTAGTAGGGTAGCACTTTTTTCACATTCGTTTGTGGGATGTGGGCGCTGCTGGCTGGCCAGCATTTATTCCACATCCCTAGTTGCCCTTGAGAAGGTGGTGGTAGTGAGCTGCTGCCTTGAACTACTGCAGTCCACCTACTGTGGGTTGACCCACAATGCCATTAGGGAGGGAATTCCAGGATTTTGACCCAGCGATCGTGAAGGAATGGCAATATATTTCCAAGTCCGGATGGTGAGTGGCTTGGAGGGGAACTTGCAGATGGAGGTGTTCCCATATATCTGCTGCCATTCTTCCTTCTAGATGGAAGTGGCCTTGGGTTTGGAAGGTGCTGTGTGAGGATCTTGGGTAAATTTCTGTAGTGCATCTTGTAGATAGTTGCAGCAGTATGTACTGAGTGTTGGTGGTGGAAGGAGTGGCCGCTTGTGGATGCAGTGTCAATCACGCAGGTGCTTTGTCCTGGATGGTGTCAAGCTTCTGGAGTGTTGTTGGCGCTGCACCCATCCAGTCAAGTGGAAGTATTCCATCACACTCCTGACTTATAGACGATGGACAGGCTTTGGGTAGACAATGTCGGGTAGATGCCAGTGTTGTAACTGTACTGGAACAGCTCCGCTCGGAGAGTGACACATTCTGAAATATAGGTCTTTAGTACTGTTGCCAGAAAGTTGTCAGGGCCCATAACCTTTGCAGTATCCACTGCCTCCGACCATTTCTTGATATCACATGGAGTGAATCGAATTGGCTGAAGACTGGTATCTGTAATGCTGGGGCTCGTTGGAGGAGGCCGAGATGGATCATCCACTTGGCACTTCTGGCTGAAGATTGTTGCAAGTGCTTCACCCTCATCTTTTGCACTGTGCTGGGCTCTTCCATCATTGAGGATGGGGATATTTGTGGACCCGCCGCCTCCTTTTCCTCCTCCGGTGAGTTGTTTAATTGCCCAACCTCCTTCACGACTGGATTTGGAAGGACTGCAGAGCTTAGATCTGATCTGTTGTTTGTGGGATTGCTTTGTTCTGTCTATCATTTGCTGTTTGGTGGCTTCACCAGGTTGACATCTCATTTTTCAGATATGCCTGATGCTGCTCCTGGCATGCCCTCCTGCACACTCTGAACCAGTGATCATAGTTTTATTAGTTTTAAAATAGTTTTGGAAAAGTATAGGCCTTGTATAACAGTTAAAGCTTTTATTTGGAGTAAGGCAAATTTTGATGGTATGAGACAGGAACTTTCAAGAATTGATTGTAGTAGTCTGGCAGGTAGAAGGACCTCCTGAGAATTGGGAAGTTTTCAAAAGTGAGATAACGAGAGTTCGAGGCATTATATCCCTGTTAGAGTGAAGGGTAAAGCTGGTAAGAGTAGGGAATAATAATGAATAGAGATATTGAGGCTCCCTTCAAGAAGGAGGAGTTATATATTATTTATAGACAACTGGGATCAAGTGAATCTCTGATAAGGGGTGTAGGGGCATTCTCAAGAAGGAAATCAGGAGGGCAGAAAGGAGATATGAGATTGCTTTGGCAGATAAGGTTAAGGATTATCCAAAGATATCCCACAAGTACATTTAAGAGCAAGAGAGCAACAAGGGAGATAATAGGGCCTATTAATGATCAATGAGGTCAGGTATGTGTGGAACCACAGGAGTTAGGAGAGATACTAAGTGAATATTTCACATCAGTTTTTACCGTGGAGAAAGAAATGGAGGCTAGGGAACTTGGGGAAATAAATATTGATGTCTTTAAACAGACCACATTACAGAAGAGGAAATGCTGGAGGTCTTAAAGAAATCTCCAGGACCTGATCAAGTGTGTCTGAGGATGTTGTAAGAAGTTAGGGAAGAAATTGCGGGACACCTAGCAGAGATATTTGTATCATCTACAGCCATGAATGGAATGCTGGAGGACTGGAGGGTGGCTAATGTTGTGCCTTTATTTAAGAAAGGCTGTAAGGAGAAGCCCAAGAACTACAGACCTGTGAGTCTGATGTCCGTGGTGGGTAAGTTGTTCAAAGTGATTCTGTGTTAGGATTTACGTACATTTTAGGGAGGCAAGGACTGATGGATAGTCAGCATGGCGTTGTGCACAGGAAATAATGTTTCACAAACTTGAGTTTTTTGAGGAAGTAACCAAAAAGATTGAGGATAGAGCAGTTAATGTTGTTCACATGGACTTTAGTAAAGCCTTTGACAAGATTGCGCATAGTAGACTGATTAGTAAAGTTAGATCACATGGGATTCAGGGAGAGCTTGTCAATTTGATACAAAGTTGGCTTGACAGCAGGAGATGGAATGTAGTGGTTGGGGATTGTTTTTCAGATTAGAGGTCTATGACCAGAGGGGTTCCACAGGGATTGGTTCTGGGTCCGCTGTTGTTTGTAATTTATATAAACAATTTGGATGAGCATTTGGTAGGTATAGTGAGTAAGTTTGCAGTGGACAGTGAAGAAGGTTATCTAAGATTATAAAGAGATCTTGATCAATTGGGTCAATGGGCTGAGGAGTGGCAGATGGAGTTCAATTTGGATAAATGTGAGGTATTACATTTTTGTAAAAAAAGGGCAGGATTTATATAGTTAATGGTAGGGCCCTGAATAGGGTTGTCACAGAGACCTGTAGCTCTTTGAAAGTTGCATCACAGGTAGACAGGGTGGTTGAGGTGTTTAGCACATTTGCCTTCGTTGCATATAGGAGTTGGGATATCATGTTGAGGTTGTACAGGACATAGGCAAAGCCACTTTTGGAGTATGTGAATAGTTCTGGTTGCCCTGTTCTCGGAAGGATATTATTAAATTGGAGAAGAGTTCAGAAAAGATTTGCCAGAATGTTGCTGGGACTGGTGGGTTTGAGTTATAAGGATAGGTTGGGACTTTTTTCACTGGAGCCTAGGAGGTTTATAAAATCATGAGGGGCATATATAAGGTGAGTAGCAAAGGGTGATTCATATGTGAAATGAACTGCTAGAAGAAGTGGTAGATGCAGGTACAGTTACAACATGTAAAAGACATTTGGAAAGGTTTAGAGGAATATGGGCAAAATGCAGGCAGCTGGGGCTAGTTTGGGGAAACTTGGTTGGCACGGACGAATAGGATCAAAGAGTATGTTTCCGTGCTGTATGACTCTGACTCTACATGGTGGCATTTGTGCTAATGTGCTAAACATCTTAACCATCCTGTCTAGCTGTGATGCAACCTTCAAAGAGCTACATAACTGACTAAGCAGAGAAGGTAATTAACTTCCTTCACTGCTGGGCATTCCCCTAGACAGATCTCAATGATTTGGTCGGCAATCTTTGACCGTAACTGGCAGGGTCAATTAGAATAACCTCCTCTCTCAGCTCTGGAAGTAGGGGAGGCCTCTCCTCTGTATCACATCATTCATCAATACCTCCAGATGCCTGTCTGTCAACTGGGCTCTGATATTCCCTTTTATTGCCATATCTGGGGCAAATGTCACAAACTGTACAGCGCTTGTCTGGGTGCATAGCCTTTTAAAGCTGACATTGGTACCAGGGATAACATCCCAGCAATGGCATGGCCTTACGAGTATGGTGAGTGGTAGAGTTGGGCTAGCATTGGGTGAAATCGGTAGTTAATAAGCCACGTTTGGGTTGGTAGAGTGAGAAAACCCACTAGTCCTCAAGGAGAGAAACCCTCCCTGAAACTTGGTGAAATTTCCATATAGCCAAAAAATAAAAGATTGAGCTCATGGTTGCTGACAGGAATTCCTGGAGGTTCAGGGAGGTGAATAAATGTCTATGTCACAGAAGGCTAATGAAATCCTCCCAGCATCTTAACTGAAGTCACCTAATTAGCGAAGCAAATAATGAACTGAGACCTCCTGCCTTCTATTGATACTCTGAACCAAGGCCCTATCTGCTTTTCTTAGTGAATGTAAAATGCCCTATAGCATTCTTTTGAAGAAGAGCAGGAGACTTATACCTGGATAATATTTACAACTCTCCTGTTTGTTACTATTTTTGGGAGTTTGTGCAAAGTTGCCTGCCATAATTCCTGTATTACAAGCATGTTTTCCATTTGGAACTAATTGAGTATCTGTGACACGTATAAAAGTAAATCTTTGTTTTCTCGCGTGCGCTCGCACGCACACACACCATTTAATAAGCTTCTTAAAACTTTGAAAGCCTTTGCTCTGCTGTATTTCCTTATGCAGCTCGGTCACAATTTGCTTTTCAAGGGCCCTGTCAAAGTCTTTGGATGTTTTTGTTACATTAGTAATGATATGCTGTAGCAACACACATTTATATAAGTACCTGTTTGTACCACCCATATGCTACAATTGGGTTTGAAATAAAAATGAGGAAAGTAGTGTGGCAGTGCATTTTGAGAACAGAATTTGGGGTCTGTACTTTTATATCCTACTTGGAGGGCAAACTTTGCTTTAACTCCTCATTGGAAAGACGGTGACTTCAAACAATGCAGGTTAAAATCCCACAGAATACACTAAAGTGCCAATCTTAGTTTTTCTGTTCAGTGAGAGTGCTAACACTGAAGCAAGGATGATATTGTTGGGAATATCTGGTATCTAAGGAATTTGACTAATCCAAGATTAGGAATTCCATGTTGAGTCCTGGTCCACTGACCTAATGAAATTCAATGTGTAGTGGCAAATTGCTACAGCTGAACTGTGTTCCTTGCCTAGGTGAGGGCAGAAAAAAAGAGAGATCAAGGCTCCTGCTCTGAAACTGTTCCAGTTGCTGAATACAAGATACGTGTCTGCTTGTTAAATGAGATCAAATCTGGATCTAACACTGGAATATTCTTCCAAAACTTTCTGGGATCATGGAATGTCATGAGATCAAGTTAAGGAAATGAGAAGATATCCCTTTTGTGGGTTGATGATCTGAGAGGTGTAAAGATCAAGTCTTTAAACATGTCAGGTTATATGCATCTTATTCTAATCTTTTCCTTATTTTCTCTCTTCCTACCATTAGCATCATTGTCGAAACTGCGGCGATATCTTCTGCAACAACTGTTCTAGTAATGAGTTGGCACTTCCTTCTTACCCTAAACCTGTGCGGGTCTGTGACACTTGTCATACGCTACTACTACAGAGGTGTTCTTCAAATGCTTCCTGAATTCAGCAGAATTTGTAACCAGCCATTAGTGTGAGCTTTTTTCAAGCTCTATTGCACCAGTAAAGCTGTTAAAGAAATTAAGTTCTATATGCCAATATCTATTTCTGGAACTCAGAGCTGAATATTTTCATTTAACTGTCCAAATGAAAGGGCTTGCATTAAGTTATTGACCAAATTGACACTTAAATTGAATACTAGAATTGTAATCAAAATTTTGATGATTTGCTCTAAGGTAATACACCTTAGATCTGTCACAACAGTGATATAAAATGCCATTAACCCTATTACCAGATTGGTTTCTCATTCTTTTCATCTGTCAGAATGGTTTTAATTGGTTTCTAGTCAAATTGTGTAAGCTTTTATTACACTACCACCAACTGATGTAATTCCACTCAGTTACAGTCAACAAAATTGATTTATGTTGGTTGAAGTTAGTTATTTTTCAGGTTTGTAGTGCCATAATGTATTTGTACTTCAGAGCTATTTTTATGGCTTCATGTGCCTTTGTTGGATAATAAATTGCAATACCTGTATTGAAGCTCTAGAATTTACATGTATGAATTTAATAATATGGCTTATTATACTGTTAGAAACAAAATATTGTAGCTCTTACTTGCATTTTGTGAATATCAAAGCAGTCAAACCACAACGTTGCCAGAACAATGCATAATGATCTGCTGTTATTATGGGGGTAAAAAGTGCACACATATTTAACAAAAAACAATTGTGTGCTTTTTTTTTTTGAGATTCCTCCTTCTCATTCACCTGGGGGTCCCTAATGAATGTATAAAATCCTTTATGTACTATTTGTATATTTCTAATACATTTCACTTGAATATAAACACTTCAATATAAAACTGATCCATTTCATTCTCCTTGGATTGATGTTTTCACTGATTTGAGCTACATAGGCAACTTTGCAAAATATTCTCATGCAAATAAATCTACAGTCGCCTGGCAAAGAACAGGAAACGATGCACTTACTGAGATGTCCCTAGATTTAAAATCACAAATGTAAGTACAGAATGGTCTCTACAGCTTGCTTTTTTATTGAGGGTGTTATGACTAGTCCCTGGGTGACTATGATTATGGACAAAACCTCCCCAAACTGATATGTTTCCAGACAGGAGAGAGGAAATTACTCCCCCTTTTCTTATTCAAATCCTCTTGCCTCTAATTGGTTGCAGCAAGGTTAACTGAACAGAAGGCATCTTTTCCCTCTTGGATGCCTGTTACAGTTCCAAAGTATTCATGTTTTAAAAGAAACCAATTTAACCAGACCCTTTTAGGTTAAGGAAAGAGTGAGATTGTTTGTTAATTAATAAAATCACCAAGGAAAATAATAAAATGCAATGCATACACCTACTTGAAATGAGGAGTGCAGAAAGACAGTTTGAAAAAGACATAAATCAGTCTTTGGCTTTAAAGGAGCTTTAGATGGTGGGGAGAGGCAGGACTAGAAGAATAGGTCAGATGTGCTGTGAGTGAGGGGAAGGGCAATGTTAAATCCAGTCTAATAAGAATAACCTGGCCCTGCCTGTTCGTGAACATGGTGGGGCTAGCAATCTGAAGTGTATTTATTTTAATGCAAGAACTACAACCAGTGAGGCTGCTGAGTTCAGCCTGGATTACTACATAGGACTGTGATATGGTAGCCATTATAGAAATTTGGTTGAGCAAAAGGGCAGAACTGACAGTTCAACATGCCATGATTTAGATGTTTCAGGTGACTTAGAAAGGAATGTAAATGGTGGAGAAATTTCATTACTGATAAGGACAATGTCACAGCTGCAGAGAGGACATCCTGGGGGCGGTGGGGGTGGTGGTGATTATCCATACGGTAGAACTCTAGAATAAGAAAACTGCAATCACAATGAGGAGACCTTCCAATAACCAGCAGGAGATAGAGGAAGTGGTATGTAAGCAGATCATGGAAAGATGTATATTTTAAAACAAAGGTGATTTTTAACTTCCCCAATATTGACTGGCACTCCCTTAGTGCCACGGGCTTAGCTGAGGCAGAATTTGTTAAGTGCATCCAGGAGAGTGTCTTTAAACAATAAGTAGATAATCCAACATAGGAAGGGGCTGTACTAGACCTTGTATTGGGGAATGAGCCTGGTTAGGTGATTGAAGTTTCATTGGGGGGAGCATTTTGGGAACAATGACCACAATTTCATAAGTTTTAAGTTAGTTAGAGATGAGGTCCTTGGTTGAAAGTACTAGACTGGAGGAAAGCTAATTAGGCAGGAACTAGACAAATTGGATTGGGTGGGGGTGAGGGGAGGGGGGAGGTTGGAGAATTGCTGTTTGAGGCTAAATCTGCATCTGAAATGTGGGAGTCTTTTAAAGGCCAGTTGATCCAGAGTTCAGGATCAGCATATTCCTGTGAGGATGAACGATAAAGATGCAAGATTTGGGAACCTTGGATTAAAGAGATATTGAAAATTTAGTCATAAAAAAACAGGAAGCATGTGTAAGATTTAGAAAACTGAAATCAAACGAGGCCCATGAGGGATCTAAAGGAAGCAGAAAAGAACTTGAATTAGGAGGGCTCGAAAGGCCCATGAAATGTCCTTGGCAAATAGGATTCAGGAGAATTTCTAAGGTTTTTTTTTACATATTAGGAGCAACAGGGTGAATAGCGAAAGGGTAGGTCCATGCAAGGAAAAAGGCAATTAGTGGGTGGAGCCAGAGGAATGGCAGGGGTGGGGGAGGTGGTGAGGTCCTTAAGTACTTTGCATTGGTATTCACTAAGGAGAAGGACATGGAAGATGGTAAAATTAGGGACAGATAGGTTGACATTCTGGGGTATGTATATGTTTAAAAGGGGGAAGGTGTTGGGTGTCATGAAAATCATTAAGGTAGATAGGTCTCCAGGCCCTGATGGGATCTACCCCAGGATACTGAAGGAGGCAAAGGAGAAGATTGTTAGAGCCTTGACCATACAATATAGGAGCAGAATTAGGCCATTTGACCCATTGAGTGCTTCACCATTTGATCATAGCTGATAGGTTTCTCAACCCTATTCTCCTGCCTTCATCCCCTTAACAATCAAGAATCTATCTATATTTGTCTTAAATACATTCAATGTCTCCACAGCCTTCTATGGCAATGTGTTCTCCAGATTAACCACCCTCTGGCTGAAGAAATCCCTCCTCATCTCTGTTTGAAAGGGTCATCCCTTCACTCTGATGCTATGCCCATGGGTCCTAGTTACTGCAACATGCAAACGTCTCTTCCATGTCCACTCTGTCCAGACTTCTCAGTAGAGGTATTTCTGTTATAACGCATGTTTCCTTAATGCAAATTGGCTATAACTTGAATGATAAATAGTGGATACTGTGGATAATGCAAACTTTCTGTTGCATAGGTATAGTGATTTCCCATAATATAATTTTCTGTAGTGCGAGGTCACACATGAGCATAACTATTGTGTTATAGGAGAACTACCTGTATTCTGTAAATTTCAATGTGATCTTCATTCGTCCTTCTAAACTTCATTGTGTAAAGAACTAGAGTCCTCGACCGCTCCTCATGATACCTGGGATCATTCTAATGAACCTCCTCTGGACCCCTTCCAATGACAGTAGATCCTTCCTTACATATGGGGCCCAAAACTGCTCCTAGAGATCTTTGTATCCTCTTTAGCTACAGGGGAGGCCCTAGAAGACTGGACAATAGTCAATGTTGTTCTTTTGTTTAAGAAGGGCAACATGGATAACTCAGGAAATTGTAGGCCAGTGAACCTTTGATCAGTGGTAGTGAAATTATTGGAGAAAATTCTAAGGGACAGGATTTACTCACATTTGGAGACAAATAGACTTAATAGGTGTAATTGGCATGGCTTTACGTGGGGGAGGCCTTGTCTCGCAAACTTGATTGAGTTTTTTTGAGCAAGTGGCAATGATTTATGAGGGTAGGGCAGTAGATGTAGGCCACATGGATTTTACGATGAGGAGCCTTGTCAAATGCATTAGTAGTGTAATGGAGGAGACCAAACCCCCTCAAAACATATTAAGGAGATAGCCTAGATCCTAACTTTTATCTTATTTCAAGACAAGTGTAAGGCACTATATTCCAGATGTGATTTGATTGGCCCACTACTAGGCTTTAAGCGAAACACACTTTATTCTTAGAACACATTTAAAATACTAAGAAAAAAAGAATTGGTGTAACTTTAATTCTATTGAAATAATATATATTCTAATTCCTACTCATCAACTGTTTCCATGTAATAGCAACCCATGAACACACTCTTGGCAAAGGCAAATTCAGCAGGACAGATTTTCAGCACTTGCTATCTCCTCCACTCCAGGAGCAAGGAACACCGACAGAAACAATCTAGCAGTGAAGAAAGAGCTGTACGAACTTAACTGATAGCAAATCTAAAACCTTGGGTCTGTGTGAGCCTGAATCCACCAACTCATGCTTTTTTTGTCTAATTTAAAATACACAGTGAAAAGCAGTATATCCATTGCTTCTGAAGCAGATATTCCAGTGCCACTAGCAACACCTCTCAGCAAGAAGAACAGCAAAAAACAAATCCCTCTTAAAGGCACAGTACCATCACACCTCCCCCTTAAAAGAAACATTAATATACAATGATGGCGTCATTTTCAAAGACTTTAGTCTCATGGTATTAGTACTCTACATTACACTAAGACTGCAAATATTCAATACTACAGTCCATCTCAGTCCATTTCTTCTGCCTACGAACACCTCCATCTTCCTTCATCAAAGTTTTGCAAATGTATCGGCAATTATATTCTCTCATTCTATCATGTATAATTTTCAAATTGAATAGCTGTAACAATAAACTCTGTCTAAACAATCTGGTACTTCTATCCTTAATTTTTTCCAAAAACGCTAAGGGATTATGATCAATATATACAATGGTCTCAGATTCTTTACTTGCAATATAAATTTTGAAATGTTGCAATGTCAACACCAAACTCAAGATCTCTTTCTCAATGTTGGACTAGTTCATTTGATGAATGTTCAACTTTTGGGAGAAATGTCTAACAGTCTCTGTACTTCTTGTAAGAGTACAGCACCAACACCCAAATCTCTTGCCTTGATAGCCATCTTGAATGGCTTTGCATGTTGCTAACACCGGAGCAGAGGTCAACTTTCAGGCTATCAAATTCCTTCTGACACTCCTGCATCCACTGAAATTTTCTGCACTTCTTCAACAGGTCGGTCAGTGGAGCAACCACGCTACTAAAATTCAGTTAGTGTCATAGAGCTGTTCAGCAGGGAAACAAACCTTTCAGTCCAATTCAACAATGCCAACCAGATATCATAAATTAATCTAGTCCCATTTGCCAGCATTTAGCCCATTTCCCTCTAAACCTTTCCTGTTCATATACCCATCCAGATGCCTTTTAAATGTTGCTCTCTCTCCCTCCTTTTTAAAGTACCATTGTTTTGAACTTTTTCTCCCACAGTTCCAAATCAATGCAACAGCTTATAAAACAGTAATTACTGTGCTTAGAATTCAAGGAAATCAGCTCCAACACTGAAAATGCCTCAAAAAAGGAGCAGCTCTTACAGCCACAACTTTTTCCCGTCCTCCATCTTGGATTATCCAGAGTTGCAAGAGTTTCAATAAAAACCGCTCAGTCCCAGGAATAATCGCATTTCCCTCTTCATTGTCAGGATGGGAAACTCTGCAATAACCTTTTTTTCACATCTGTGAGCCATCTGTCCATGTCAAGTGATATTGCCTAGGAACATGACTTTGGCTTTTGTGAACTCACTTTTAGCCAGGTTTTAGCACCAAGCCTGCCTTCTGAAATTGATCAAACCATTCCAATAGATGCTCCAAATGTTCCTTCCAAGTGTGACTAAAAATCACCAGATCGTCTATGTATACCACATAATTGGGTAATTCAAAATGACTTTATCGGTTAGTCTTTAAAATGTGACTCATACATTCTTCATACCAAATGGCATGACTTTAAACTGGTAAGGTCCATTTGGTGTCACAATAGCCAAAATTTCCTTCACTGTTTTGGATAAAAGCACCTGTCAGTATCTTCTGAGTAATTCCAGTTTAGAAACATAAGTTGCTTGTCCCACCTTTTCAATACAGTGTTCCAAACGTGGGATAGGATATGTATCAGATTTCATAACTGCATTGATTTTGCGATAATCCACACATAATTTTTGGGTATCATCTGGTTTTGGCACCATCACTATGGTGGTGAGCTCCATTCACTTCAACTCACTTTAATAATGTCACCTCTGAGCAAGCTTTCAATCTCTTTGAACCTGTACCAATTTTGGAGGGTTAAACTTATAAGGTATTGCTTAATTGGATCAGCATTTCCTACATCTACATCATGCATAGTCAATTTAATACTTCCCAGCTTATTCGGACATATGTCTCCAAGCGATTGTCATAACTCATTCAGGTCATTTTGATTTTCCTCTAGAAGGTAACTCAAAAATTTATTGCAATTTTTGAGAACTTCCTCATTGTCCAATTTAATTTGAGGAATATCGAATTCAGAATCATCTGAACTTGGTTCTTCACTTTGTGTTGTAACCAGTAACACATTTTTCTTTTCCTTTCCGTGTATTCTCTACTGCATGATGTGGAGGTGCCGGTGTTGGACTGGGATAGACAAAGTCAGACATCACACAACACCAGGTTATAGTCCAACAGGTTTATTTGAAAATACAAGCTTTTGGAGCCTCAGTCCTACGAAGGTGTCTGGACAACAGAAAGATGATCTCAACAGTGATAGGACTGTCTTAAGCATAGAAGATCCCAAAGTGAGAGCACACTTTCAAAATATTGACAGGTGCAAGATCTCTGAGACTGCCAATCATCAGCTGGAGTGTAAGGCTTTGCATTATGCTGAGGGATATTCCAGGTTGAATAAAAACAATAGACTGTGGTAAAAAAAAAAATTTGCACAAGAACCAGCAGAAAGATCAAAGTTTAGACTGTAAATATTGTGGAAGGCATCACATAATAGGAAACATATCCAGCATGGGGAACACTCTGCTCTAACTGCAAGAAGCTGAATGACTTTGCACACATGATTAGCTAAAAATAAACAAAACAAGGCTACAAGGTGGCTACTTATAGGGTCATAGAGTCATACAGCACAAAAACAGACCTTTGGTCCAACCAGTCCATGCTGAGCATAATCCCTAACTAAACTAGTTCCACCTGCCTGCTCCTGGCCCCTATCCCTCCAAACCTTTCGTTTTCATGTACCTATCAAAGTGTCTTTTAAACACTGTAATTGTACCCACATCCACCACTTCCTCAGGAAGTTCATTTCACACTCGAATCACCGCTTATGTAAAAAAATTGCCTCCATGTCTTTTTTAAATCTCTCCCCTCTCACCTTAAAAATGTGGCGTCTAGTCTTGAAACCACCCGACCTAGGGAAAAGACAACTGTACCATTAACTCTATCTATATCTCTCATTAAGTTATAAGCTTACATCAGGTCGCCTCTCAACCTCCTCTGCTCCAGTAAAAAAAGTCCCAGCGTATCCAGCCTTTCTTTATATCTCAAACCTTCCATATCTGGCAACATTCTGGTAAATCTCTTCTGAACCTTCTCCAACTTGATAATATCCTTCCCATAACTAAGCGACCAGAATTGGACACAGCACTCCAGAAGAGGCCTCACTAATGTCCTGTACAACCTCACCATGACTTCCCAATTCCTATACTCAAAGAACTGAGCAATGAAGGCAAGCATGTCAAATGCCTTTTTAACCATCTTGTCTTTATGTGACACAATCTTCAAAAGAATTATGTACCTGCACCCCCAGGTCCCTCTCTTCTGTGATACTACCCAGGACCCTACCATTATTTATATATAAGCCCTACCCCTGATTATTGTACCAAAATGCAATACCTCGCATTTATCCAGATTGAACTCCACCTGCCATTTTTCAGACCATTGACCCATTTGATCAAGATCCCTTTGTAATCTTAGAAAACTTTCTTCACTGTCTACTATGCCTCTAATTTTGATGTCGTCCGCAAAATTACTAACCATGCCTTCTATATTCTCATCTAAATCATTTATATAAATGACAAACAAGAGGACCCAGAACTGATCCCTGTGGAACACCGCTGCTGACAAGCCTCCAGTCTGAAAAGCAAACTTCCACCACCACTCCCTGTCTCCTGCCGTGAAGCCAATTACGTATCCAATTGGCAAGCTCACTCTGAATCCCATGTGACTTAATTAGTCTACCATGCGGAACCTTGTCAAAGGCTTTACTAAAATCTAAATAAACAATGTCTGCCATCATCAATCCTTTTAGTAACTTCCTTGAAATACTCAATCAAGTTTGTGAGATATGATTTTCCTCGCACAAAACCATGCTGACTTTCCCTAATCAATTTATGTCTCTCTAAATGTCCATAAATCCTATCTTTTATAATCAGCTGCAACAATTTAACCACAACTGAAGTTAGACTCATAGCTCTGTAGTTCCCTGGTTTCTCCTGACAACTTTTCTTAAACAAAGTTTTGACATTAGCCACCCTCCAGTCATCAGACACCTCACCCGTAGTTATAGATGATGCAAATATTTCTACAAGGGGTCTTGTAATTTCCTCTCTTACTTCCCACAATGTTCTGAGATGCATTAAATCAGGTCCTGGAGATTTATCCGCCTTTATATTCTCTAAGACCTCCCGAACTTATTCTTCTGTATTGTGAACTGTTTTTAAAACATCAAAGTTTATTTCTCTGCATTCTACAGAGTCCATTTCTTTCTCCACTAGTAAAACTTGAGATGAAATATTTATTGAGTAGCTCTCTCATCTCCTGAGGTTCAACACAAAGACAGCCTCCTTGATCTTTAACAGGCCCTATCCTCTCTCCACCTCCTGCTCTTAATGTACTTGTAGAATCCCTTTGGATTATCCTTAACCTTATTTGCCAATGCTATCTTATACCCGCTCTTTGCCTTCCTGATTTCTTACTGAAGAATGTCCCTATATTTTTTATATTGAGTAAGAGAATCAATTGAACCAAGTTGTCTAAATCTAAAATAAGATTCTCTTTTATTTTTGACTAGAACCTCAATATCTTTATTTATCCATTGTTCCTTAATCTTACCAGCCTTACCCTTCACTCTAACAGGAACATAATGTCTCTGATCTCTTGCCATCACACTCTTGAATGGCTCCCACTTGTAATTCTGATATCACTTTGCACCATACATCAGATTGGCATCATTAGGTCTAACAGCGGCAGATTAATACATGTACTTGGTGCAACATTATGAGTTTCACAGAACTGTGCAAAGTGGCTCGAGATGGTGACTTAAAAATGAGGCTCACAAGAGTAAGACTGAATCTATAGTAGGAACCGGCCCAAAAAGAAACAGCTGTTTAAAAATGTAAGAATGCCTTGGGTGTCCACATTGTTTTGCTGAGCAATAGCAAAGGAGACAAATTCTTGATCTTTCCAAAAAAATTCCATGACCTCCAAAAGTTGCTTGAGGTTACACAGTATGACTTTCAATGTTATTCCATTTCTATCTTCCTGTATCTCCAGAAATCAAGTAGTGTACTAATCTGCACAATTTGTCAAATACTTGTAGAGACATTTTCATGAAAAGTAAACATTGAAGAACCCTGCTGTTTCTATACAGTTATTTGCTCAAGATAGTTAGTTGCAGAACAAGGCTCAAGTGTTTGCAATGATCTTTTGCCTAAGCTGATCGATTTTGGCCTCCTCCCAAGATCTCCAACATTACAGAAGCCAGGCTTCTGCCAATTCAACTCATGCCACATGACATCAGGAAACAGTTGAAGGTATAGGTTACTGCAAAGGTTATGGAC